TGACTCCATGAAATAAGATTAAAAACATTATTCCATATATATTTTCCAACTTCCAAGAAATGTTTAAGGGCTTCTGATTTCCTTGGTTGCATCAAAGCTCAACATAAATGCAGTTTAAAAGCTAGTTATCACTATGTCCTTTATTCAGAGTCATTTAGCCATGAAAGAACTAAAAAGGCACCAAACCAGGAACACTAATCCACAAGGTAATACCACTTCTAGAGGGAAGGGGCCTGTCAGAAAGCTGGGACAGACTTTGGAGCAGGACCTGTTGAGACAGGACAAGAAGTGATGGTTTGAAACTAAAAGAGGGAAGAGAAGGAAGAAATTTTGTATGCTGAGGGGGGTGAGCCTTTGGTGCAGGTTGCCCAGAGAGGTGGTCGCTGCCCCATCCCTGGAACCATCCCAGGTGAGGTTGGCCGGGGCTCTGAGCACCCTGCTCTAGCTGCAGATGTCCCTGCTCCCTGCAGGGGGGCTGGACTGGATGACCCTGAAAAGGTCCCTTCCCACCCAAACCATTCCATGATTCTCTGACTTATACCAGTAAAGACCTAGACCTGCTGACTCGTGTCTCCTGCCCCACTGACCCAGATGGTAGATGCAGGACCTGGGCATGTTCTGCTAGCTCTGTGTCCTGGAGAACTCAGTGTCCAGGCCATGCTCCCACTGGGGTGCCTCTCCAGTCCTCCATACTGCTCGACTTGTGCTGTGATGGATCTTTTGCAGATCAGAGAAATTAGCCCTTCAGCTTTATATGATGAGCTCTATTTCATAATGTGGAATTATTTTGTAGTTGTCAAACACAACAGAACTGTAATCAGCACAATTTGAAATTTTAGTATACAATGTTATTCAATCAAACAAAAATTCCAAAACAGTTTTGATTGAATTAAAAAAAATCAAAAGAGCTATAATGAGTAGTTTATGTAAATGAAACAATTCTTTCTGGGTACATTCCTTCTGGCTTTAAAACCATTACATTAGGAATGAATTTGGCACAATACACAGAAATATCAAATGCTTATTGAAATTAACACATTTAAATACCAATGAATATTTAAACTACAAATATTTCTCTGAATGCCAGGACTAATGAAGTCAAGTTTCATATGGATTCTTCTGCAGTTGAAATGTATCATCTTACAAACCCTCTCCATCAAGTGGATTCTTAGGAATCTGAGTTCATGTGTTTCCCTCAGTCAGTGATTTATAGGATCTTTCTCCTTACCTAAACACCCACTGTCATGAAACATGCAGGAGTCTGATGACCTGACACCTCAAGTGTTCTTAGAAACAGAACTGAAATGAGCTAACAGGTTGCAAAGTTATCAGCAAGGAAAAATATGCAGAAAAAATTCATCCTTAGAAAACCAGGTTTCAAAGTAATCGCTTTGTCTGTGGTTTCAAATTGATTAGTGTCATTCAAATATATTAATCCACTCTGTGCCAATAATTCCAAGTTTCTATACAGACAGAAGGCTTGGCCACCAGTATACTTTCATTTATACATGTCCTCCCTTTGGATAAAAACTGCTGTGTACAATTTGCACATCATTGCATATGAATGAAGTGTTGACACCCAGCGTATCCCACAGTTGGATGCCAGGTATTCATTTGTATTTGGGGATATTTACCCATTTTATTTGAATTACTGTTACCTATTGCTTTGTACAAGCTGGACTGGCCTCTCTATTATCAGCTCTTGGCGATGCTTTAAAATGAAAGCTCAGGGGTAAGATTTACTGCCAGGAAGAACCACAGTGGGGAATTAAGAAGCCATGACAAGAAAGAAGTCACCCTGCTCCTTTGTTACTTACATGCGCCCACTTCTCCCTCCAGATCTCAGGGCTGTGCCTCTGGCACTCCTCTTGAAGCCAGTGGTAGCATTTCAGATGTGAGATAACGTCACAATAGGCTGTGCCATCTCCTCCAGAGCCATCATTCAGCTTAAACAACCAACGCCGCACTTCCATATTGTCAACGATGAGCTGGCTGAGGACACCAATCATCTGTGGAGCAAGGACAGAAAGAGCTTTTGCACTAGGACAGAATTAAGTTGTTCTTCCATTTAGACTTCCAGTTCTCAAATATTTGGACATATTTATTTTCCAGCTGTGTTTTCTGTTTCTTAAGAGATCCTTGTGTTGTTACAGTTCTCTTGGATATGTAGCAAAACCAACCCTGAACAATTTTTGATGAATCATGGAATGGTTCTGGTGGAAAAGGGACCTTTAAAGCTCATCCAGTCCAACCCCCCTGCAGGGAGCAGGGACATCCCCAACTAGAGCAGGTTGCTCAGAGCCCCTGGAATGGTTCCAGGGATGGGGCAGCGACCACCTCTCTGGGCAACCTGGGACAGGGGCTCACCACCCTCAGCATCAAACATTTCTTCCTTCTCTCTAGTCTCAATCTCCCCTTTGAGTTTAAAAACCATCCCCCTTGTCCTGTCCCAACAGGCTCTGCTAAAAAGTGCATCCCCAGCTTCCTGAAGGTCTCCCCAGAGCCTTCTCTTCTCCAGGCTGAACAACCCCAAAAAACCATGAAGAACCAATGGTTCTCACCCCCTACCTGAGTCCACTTGGGCAGGGCACTGAGCAACAACCTTTGTGGTCAAGGTCCTGTATTCTGCACAGATGAATTTGCCTCTCTAGACTTTTTTTGTCTGAGCAGAGTCTTAGTTTTTGGATAATCAGGACAGCTCCATAAATGTTTGTGACAGGGAGCAACACGGGATGGACGATGCTATTTGCAAAAGCTGAGAGACAGTGGTGCCAGATTCTAACACCAGCCAAACATCTGTGAAATTTTCCTACTGGAGAGTGCATTATATGGTTATAAATGTAGGAAGGACTTACCAGGCAGCCTTTATAAAAATGCTAATTATTTATTTGTGTATGTACACAGATTTAAATGGCTTTAAAATGCCTTTTGCCCAGCTGGTGTAGGCTGCAATTATCTTCTTAGAAACTGCAAATGCCTTTGAACCTGGTGAAAGTATTATCATCTCTTGTTGTGTTGGTTGGAGCCTTCTCCATTTTTACACAGTAATTTTGGGGACTTTTGTGTATTTCTAAAAATGCTCACAAATACACGTGTGTTCCAGATGCTATTATTTGTGGCTTTTGAGAATTGGATAGATGTTATTTTCCTTGATGACTCCCCTACAGTAATGAAGATCAATAACACTGTAAAGACTTTACCAATCATACACAATTATGTGCTATCTTTAAGTGAAAATTGAATTGTCCTTTAGCATTGTGTCACCTTGCTTTGATTATTCAACCCAAAATGCCAATATTTCATACAAGCCAACAACAAGAGCGGAACTTCCATAACACCGCAGTATGAATCAGAAGGATTAGATCCCTGTAAATTATTTAGCAATAAATCAAAGAGTTGTTTTTCAGATCATTGATCATATGGTCACCTACTAGAGAAGATGCAACTTATCTGTGTAGCTCAGCTTAGTTTCAGTGTTAAAGGTGATTAATAAAAAAGCAAAGCAATGTGAAAAGCCTCTCTGAGAAGTAGGAACACCTACAAACCACAGCACTGATTGTTTTTCTGTATGAAGTGTAGCACCATCACTAAAATATTTTTAAAAAAATCAGTATAGATCTTACTTAGACATATTTCCAACTGCAAAATCAGCTTACAGAATGAAATACTGAGGCTCTGAATGCAAAATAAACAGATGCAAACTGAATGCAGTACAGAAGACTCTTGTGCCTTGTAGTTTTAACTCAGTAATATTTTGTTCTTTTCTTACTGGCCATGCTAACAAGATAGGTGAGTTTAGCAATAAGCCAGGCACAAGGTAAATTAATGAATTTAGCAGTGATAGCCAGGTACAAGGTAAAACTCCAGTTGCAGACATGCTCAGTGAACCTCAGCTTGAATAGGCTGACTGGTTAAGGGGAAGAAATTTTCTCTTCATCACATAGCTTCCCAGAAATCCCAGTTCTACTTTCAGACACTGATAAAACTATTAATTCACCGAGGCCATGACTTCATCCATGGAGCAGCAACATGAACTGTTTGAAATAACCAACCCAAACACCCTTATATATTCTCAAGGCAGACCACGAGGAATACCAGAACAACTGTGTTACTTCCTGACTAGGCTACAAATTGCATTTCATTGGTCAGATAGAATTAAAAAAGAGCCCAGCCTCAGACAGGATTTAATCAGCTCCAGTTAGGGTCCAATCAATAGAAACACTGCAATTGCACAAAGTTTGCACCCTACCAAGGGAAAAAGAGGCATCTGCACATTGGCACACCCCAGGGCACACCCTGCTTACCTGCTCCTTGCTGTAGATGTCAGATTCTCCAGGAGGGGTTGCCACACAAGCACCAGCAAAAATTCGTTTGCCTCCTGACTTGGAGCTATAGAGAAGAGCCACTTCTGGCACCGAGCCTAATATAGGCACATTTAGCATGTCAGCCACTGCTAAATCATCTTTGTGGGGAACCCCTCCAATAATGTAGGCATCTCTGCTCTGGATAAGACTTTTTATTCTTTTGATTGTCTTGGGACTGTACTTCAGCTGAGTGGCCAGGCACATGTGATGCTTCTGTGTAAAGATAACATTATTCTTGTTAAAAGGTGTTCTTTTCTCTTCCATGAACCTAATTTATAATGTTGCACACAATAAATACATTATTAATAGCAGGCTGGGTTATGACCTATCCTGTAGCTTAGCAGTTTAAATTGATAAAAGCTGTTGGGGTGAGGCTCCATAATCGTGCACATCTTTAGTGTGTTGGAAATGGGCTCACTGGGAATAGAACTAATTACTACACATCTGTATTTATTTGATCCATGCGGAATTATCCTTCTGTCAGTCGGCAGAGAGGCTGGTGGCCTTTGGATAATAGTGATTCATCTCAGCAACACTTCTGGCATGGTTTAACTCTAAAGCTCCTAAAAATCAATACAAAAATGAAGAAAACCCCCTATAGCAGGGGATGTATCTCACCATACAGTTCAGCAGTATTTTAAGCGTTTCTCTGAGAATAAAACACTTTGATTTACAAAAGCTTTTCGCTGATCACGTTAAATTACTGGGGATATACATTTCCACTGCACAGGAGTTCTGACTGTAAATGCAGCTGCAGAGTACTCCAGGAGAGGGTCAGATTGTTGTTGAAATTACAAACTTTTTGGAGGGGATTTTTAATGTCTTCTAAAAAAGAAGATCTGCTGCTGAACAAGCTGTTCCTGACATGCTATAACCTTTAATTTCAAACTAAGAATATTAGTCATGGCACATGAAACCTCAAAAATATTTTCTATTTTCAAACATATTTCAAACCTATCCTATGCATGGCCTGCAGATAACCCAACTATCATTCTAAAGGTATAGACCAAGGTGCAACTGAGGCTGAGATAGATGGGGATGGACATCATGCAGAAACAAGACAAGAGACATCCACTGCAACAGACTGCCATTAATAAATCATAATTGTAACAAGAAGAAAATCTTGTTACAATTGAGATTTCATCCCATTGAGGTACTAGTCAGGAAAGTGCTAATACTGGATTTGCAAGAGATTTCCAGGCCTGGAGAACCCAGATATTTTCCTTCAGAGACCTGGATGCTCCTTCCCAGGGACTGAAGTACAAATCCCGATTCCACTACTTGGCTGGGGACAATGGTGGAAAAGAAGATGGGCAAGCCCCTAGAAGTGAACAAAAGGAATCCTCTTTTGTCAGCTCCTCAGTGCTTTCTCATACCAAACAGAGCTCAAAAAAGTGCCCAAGTAGTCAGACAAAACTGCAACAAGGACTATGAGGATGTCTGAGAAATCAGATACTCTTCAAAGTTCTAGTAGGAAAAAGGGACTCACTGAAGTATAACAGCAGAAAGGACAACAAACAAGTTTCCCAGAGTCTTTTTCCTTTTATCAGTTTTAAACCAGAGATTCTTCATGTTCTGATTCATCCATTTCCTTTCTCTGGAGCAGGGGTATAAAAGCAGGGAGATGACCTGTCCTGCTGGTCTCATGGCAGAGTTCTGCCATGGAGAGAGCAGGATCAATTTCCAGCCCCGGTCACTTGCTCCCTGGGGCCACGAGTGGTGATGTAGGGATGAGATTTGCTTTGTGTCTCTCCATAATGGATTTTAGAGTTAATTAAGGAGTGCAGGAAACAGGCTGTAAAATCTAGTTCATTCCT